CCCCCCCACACACACACACAGAAATTTCCATAAAGGCAGAAATTTTCAATATTTAAATAAATACTGTTCTGACTCCGTAAAGTCTGAAATTTACAAGAAAAGAACTCGTAAATTTATGAGGAAAAAACAGAAGTTTTCAGGAATGGCTGAAGGGCAATAGCACCAATGTTTTCACTACCTTGAGCATATTTAATCTGCTGTAAAAAAACTAAAACACAGAGACACTTCAAACCTGGCATTGATTATCCTATACTGACTTGAATATTTAAAACCATGTGTGTGATTTACCGAAACAGAAGGAGTCACCACATGTTTGGGAAATTGACGGTGATACTGGAAGGCTGCATAGAGTTTTGAAATAATTTTTATATATAATAATTTTTCTCTTTGGGCTCCATGATTATTTTGATTGCTCCTGTTGCTTCAGTCTCTTTAATTCTCTTACCGCTTACATCAGAGTTTTTTGACAGAGATTTGCCCTCCTGTTTTTTATCTGCAAAGTGACCTTAATACACTGTCGTAGAAAATGCACTTTAGTCTTTGAATCAGTGAGTTTAGTTTTCACCCAAAGACATACTAAATAAGCTGAGCACTTCAGAACACTACACCACCCTGTTGTGTCTGTGACTTTCACTGATAGCATTGTGTGCTTCACTTTTGGCACTGATTGGTTAAACATGACTCTCCAGCATCCAGCTGGTTAATCATATGTTATTATCCTTGTGTTTTACCTGTAGCTTATAAACTGAATTCTGTTGCAAACTCTGCATTGATGAACAAAGACAAATGTAAAAAAATTCCATCAAGTCTTTATTTCTGCTTCAGACTTCCTAAATATGATGAATAACATGTATATTATAAGGTATAAAATCCCTGTTGTCCACACCAAGGTTATAATAGTTTTGGATTTTTCTTTATAGTTTAGTTTTATTTTGTTGTGACTTTTTTCTATTAATCAGTTTGTTTTAATTAGTTTTGACAGTGGATTTGCTAGTTTTTATTAGTTATTATTGCATTTTTAATGCTTAGTTTTAGTTTAGTTTTTATTAGTTCTAGTATTAGTTTTTTCTAGTTTTTTTGCCAATGCATCTTCAAGCTTGTGATGTTCCTGTGAGTCAACTAACAGCTATTTGATCACTAGTTAAAACAGTCCATTATAGCAACACCTTCCTAAAATAATTACGTAACTCAATTTAGCCAACTGATGATTTGGACGATTATTTTAGGATGATGATAATAGTTGTCTCTAACCCGGGGATACCTGTTGTTTGTTTTTCACAAGAGCTACTGAGAGAAGCTAGTGTGTCAAGATAGTCATAGTTAGCCATCTTGTGAGAGCTTAATTCATACAGTTTTTCCCTTGAGAAGTATTCCACCTGTTTTATCACCTGTTTCCACTACAAGACACTTGCTTTGATTTTTCTCGCAGTCATTTTTAAATAAATCCTAAAGTGGACGCTTTCTCCCAACTGTTACTGTCGTCATTTAGCAGACGATGCTGAGCAGCAGCTGATTGTAAACAAGTGTTGTTACGGACCATGAGGTGCTGTAAACTGCCCACAGCTAATATGAAAAAAAAAAAAAGAAATAAATGGACAAACACTAAAACTAAGGATATTCCATCTATAATTTCAATTAGTTTTGTAAAAGGATTAAACAGTTTTACTTAGGTATTTCTTTTTTTCTTCATTTTACTACAGTTATTTTAGTTAACCAAAATGTTCTTTCAATTTCAGTTTTTATTATTTAGTTAGTTTTAGTTAACTATAATAACCCTGCTTCCAACTGAGCCAACCTGCTGTCTGTAGATAAACTCAAACTAAACTTCATTAAATAAAAACCTCTAAGGCTGCCTGTGTGGCAAAAAAGCAGGTGGGAAGACTGAACCAAAACCCAGAACTAAAACCAGCATGCATATGATTGTGTCATCCCCAGTGATAGAGCAGACATGTGGGATACCTTCAGTGCTTTCTGCTCCCAAAGCTTGGATATAATTTTGCTCATCAAAGACACCGCTTTCGTCAGGATTCAGTTCTGCGTCCTCTCTGCAGCCCTGCAGTCCTGCCGGCCTCTTAAACTTCACCATCTTCTGCACAGAGCCAGCGCTGCTCTGCACACCTTTTCAAAATAAAAGCACAAACAAACAGAAGGTCAGAAACACACCGAAGGGACAAATATGCTCTGGAACATTTCAGAAATAAAAGTAGGGCTCATACCCTCCTGTTTGTCCACGATGTGATCCAAAACATCTCCGTCCCCGATGAACTTCACCTCCAACACACTCATTTTACTGATAAACAAATAAGGTAGTTGTTAGTCAAGCAGCCGTGTCATTACAAGACACACAATTAACTTTCAGTGTATGTTTAGCTGATAAAAACGACGGGTTTCATTTACATTTTTTCGTAGTAAGGCCAAAGCAGTAAAACAGAGCAAATTGTTGCGCACGTGTCATTACGACACAAAAAGCAAAAACACGTTAACAGCACAAGTGACTTACCCGCAGAACAATGGTCGCAAATGTAAACAAAACTTTTAAAAATCCGGGTTTAGCTGCGCGATAGTGGTGGGACAAGTTTCCGCGCCACCCTGCTGAAGATTTTAAACCACGTGACACGTAAAAGGTCACGCTGCGGCCAATCAGAACAGCGGGTTCAGTCAGAACTACATTTCCCAGAATGCATTTCGACTCAAGCTTTTAAATCCTGTTGGGATTTCTCTCATTTGTTTCAATTTTATCAATTTTACCAATTACACCAATAACCTAAATACTTTTGTATTTTTATGTTTTTAAAGTGAAATACGGACAAAATGAGATTACAAGCAATAAAGATGATTTTAAACAAATGTAGGACTGAAACAAAAAATATAAATTTTTATTATATGGAAAGTGCCTTAATGTGTTTTTTTTTTGTAACTCGTTCAAAAATATACNAGATGATGCTGAGCAGCAGCTGATTGTAAACAAGTGTTGTTACGGACCATGAGGTGCTGTAAGCTGCCCACAGCTAATACGAAAAAAAAAAGAAAAAAAAAGGACAAACAGTAAAACTAAGGATATTCTATCTATAATTTCAGTTTTAGTTAGTTTTGTAAAAAGATTATACAGTTTTAATTAGCATTTTTTTTTTCATTTTATTACAGTTTTTGTTTATTTTAGTTAACTAAAATGTTTTTTCAATTTCAGTTTTCGCTATTTAGTTAGTTTTAGTTAACTGTAATAACCCTGGTCCACACACACCACATTCCTCAACTGAAAACGGCTCATAGTCTCATTATCCACAATACCACTTCATAAAAGTACAGTGGTAACAGCCCATTGGTACTGTAGGTTGATATTTTTTAAAATACTTTGTCTCAAAAGGTTTTCAATGGATTCTAAATGAAATAAGCGTAATTACAAGTAATCACAGCTAAATACAATGATGCCATTATTTGGGATTAAACTCATATTTACTTGAAAGCCTGTCATCTGTGTTTTATCTTTCATGAATCAAACAACCCCACAATGCTTATTTAAAGATACATAAAAAATGAATTTAGAAGACTTGTTTTCCAGCAAGCAGTAAAACAAATGATCTGTGAGTGTCCTGATTACGAATGAAATCTTCTATCTTTAGGTCAAGTCTGATACTGACTGTGAAGGTGGCAGTGAGTCCGAGACCCAGATGGACCAGTTGCAGCAAGCAGCTCAGAAGAAGACAGAGTGCGCTCTGAGTCCCAGTGTTGCTGTGGACGACAAGTCTAGTGAAGTGGTTGAACTGGTCAGCAAATGTCAGAACACCTTAATCAGTAATGCAGGTACTGAAAAGTGACAGTGAAAGTAGCAAGCTACGTAGTTAATGTGAAAGGCTGCATTCAATATTTTTTGTGTGAAATTAGGGAAACCTTTGGAAGACTCTTCAACATCACAAGCCAATGGAGGAACCCTACAAAAGACTGCTAAGGTGAGCTTTAGTTCTTTTTCCCTCAAATGTTTCCCCAAAAATCCCTAACCGAAGGCATGCTTGGATATTAATTTTTCTGTTGTATAATAAACAGTTTGATATTTTGAGTGACTCGGTCCTGCAAACTAATATTTATCTAATGTCAGGGCATGAAAATCATTGCAGGTATTGAGCATTATATGATCGATCCCCACAAATCCAGTCTTTATAATGCAGGAAATTCCTGCATACAATAAATGATAACGATGTGTGATAACTTGGACGTTTGCATCGGACTGTTTTCACACTGATGTTTGTTCTGACCACCTTGGTTGGTAGAGACTGAGACTTTTCCTGCATTAAAATGTAGGAAAACAAATTATTTTCACAGTGGTTTTGAATAAATGTTACAAATGGGTGTTTTATCCACACTTTTTAAGCATGTAAGAGATCGTCTCTGTTGGTGACTTCTGAACTGCCAGACAACGTCAACACGGATTGGGCTGTTCGCCCATTTAGAGACACTGACTTTTGAAAGAGCCTCTCAAACAGGGAGAGAGATGAGAGAGCAGCAGAGATAACAGCTAGGAAGGCAGGAGGAGGCAAATGAAAACCACATATATGGACCTGTAATCATGCTCATAAGTGATAATCTCCCCCAAAATGTATAAATCCCCCCACTCTGAAACATGTAAGGGGCAATTTCCCCTCAGTTTCAAAAGTGAATTTCAGGCCCCATCTTCACAGGAGCCTATCTTTTATTATAATTGTTAGTACACTTAGTGATGTGAAGTCAGTTGACTTTTTCCTGCCTCTATTTAGTAGATAATTTTTGTTTCTTATTGCATGACTGATGTGTTGTAAAGGACAGATTTCAGAGTTGTCCTGTTCATCAGGTGGTGTACATTGTTGAGAAGAAGCACTCCCGAGCTGTGACTGGCTTCCTGAAGTTCCTACCAGACAAGCCCTTTGCCTGGTTCTCTCCTGTAGACCACCGGGTGCCACGGATTAATGTTCCTTTAAGTGACTGTCCCCAAGACTTCAGTTCCCGTCCAGCTGACTACACCAGCACCTTGTTCATCTGTCGGGTCACCAATTGGGCGGTCAATAGCAACTTTGCAGAAGGGTGAGTGTTGCGTTAGAATCATTTGTTGTGGTTTGACAGATGTTTTATCCTACTGATGTTATCTTTCAGCCAACTTGCGAAGTCACTGGGCCAAGCTGGAGAAATCGAGCCAGAGACAGAGGGCCTCCTGATGGAGTATGATGTTGATTTCTCCGAGTTCTCAGAGGAGGTGTTGGACTGTCTTCCTAAGAACTTACCCTGGACCATTCCGCCAGAGGAGATCAGGAAGAGGAGAGACCTTAGGTTAGACTTTAACGTCTCTTTCAGTTCACATTTTACTCCTGACTCTGCAGCTACCGTATTTATTCAAGTATAATACGTAAAATCAAATCCATAAAATCATCCATAAAGTTGGSGGGTAGTACTATACTCRGATAAATATTTTTACTTATGTATTTTAACTGAAATATCAGCTTCATTCACAAAATGCCTCAGTCCGGAAATTAGACCGCGTCGTAAAAAGCTGTTGAAACAAGCTTACCTCTGACACTCCTCCGTTCTTCAGAACGAGATAATAACAGATCCAAGCAGGCGACATGATGTGAAAAGGGGGAAAAGCAGTCCTGCAGCTCAGTAATGATAAACTAATGACATTAGCGTGTGACCGAGCCGCTCCTGGAACAACAACAAACATGTTCATCTGTAATGGCTGCCTTCTACCGGTGTTCTGAAAAAGTTTGTATCCCTGAAAAGTTTCCTCAGCAGAGGGGGTGCTCGCGAGTAGGAAATAATCTGCTTTTCCCCCAGAAGATGGCCCAAATCTCATGTGAACTCTCTGACTTTTGTGTTGGATCATCCTGGTGGACTATGTGTAAAATGCCAGAATTCATATGATGCTGCTACAGCTGATATATATTTGTTGTCAAAATACCTTTTAGTACATATGTTGTTAAAATAAAAGAACAGTCCAACGATCATTTTACTGATATGTATAAAGACTGCAAAGGCTGAAAAATCTTGAAATCTATGAAATTGGAAGTAGTTTGGGGATTAAATTTTTTATGCTTTTTAAGCTAAAAAAAAAAAGGGGGGGTCGTATTATACATGAGACCGTATTATATAGGCCTGTCACGATAACAAATTTTGCTGGGCGATTAATTGTCTCACAAATTATTGCGATAAGCGATAATATTGCCTGGTGACCATTTTACAACTAATAATTATAAAAGCGTAATATGTAAGTGTAATAAATCAATAAACTTTAATTTTTAAAGAATGTTTAACAAAATGGACTCTCAGTCTCTAACAAAAAATGCACTTGAATTAAAAAAAAACTAAAGAACAACAAAATATAAATTAAACACCACACACACAACTAAGATGGTAAATAGACAATATTAAAGAGCAGCATCTCTTTAGAGATGAAGCAAACTACACAGCCTGGTGAGGACCCACTGTTTCTTATGGGGACATAAGCCCAGTTCACATCCCATGTAAAGTTTAGGCTAGGTTTAGGGTCAAATTGTAATAGAAAATACTGGTAAATGAATAAAAGTCAATGCAAAGTCCCCATGAGGATAGAAGAACAAACGTGTCTGTGTGTGTGTGAGGAGGGGACAGTAAGTGAGGAGACAAGCAGAGCACTGTGTGGGGAGGAAATCAGACAGTTCAGTTTTCCTCATGAGTTGTTGGGACAGCTACAGGTTTTTTGGGTCTCTCTCTCTGTCTCATAATTCAGGCTCTAGTGCTCCGACACTGCAGCAGCCGCGTTCTGCTTTGAAACGTTTCTTTAGTTTGTTATTGCTACGAGCTCTCACGCTAACGCGAGAGTTCACTCCTCCCGACACTAAGAAAACAGGAGGGGAGGAGTCAGCTGAGCCCATGTGCAGCGGAGCACAGAGAGGGAGAGAGAGGAAGTAAACAAACAAGCAGGAAAATGAAACTTATCGTCCTCATTTTTTTTACCGACCTCAAAAAAATTTATCGTGTAATTAATTGATTTATTGACTATCGCGACAGGCCTAGTATTATACACAAATAAATACAGTAATTTCACAAAGTAATGTTTATGATGTTTAGGGAGGAGTGCATCTTTACTATTGACCCTACAACTGCCAGAGATCTTGACGATGCCTTGTCCTGTAAACAACTCCCAGATGGTAAACTGCTTTGCTGTTTTTCCAAATCTTTGTTATGAATGTGTTTTTTTTTCTCACGTTTTTTTATTGTAAAAGTATTTTGTACTAACATATTGTTTTTATCTCAGGCAACTTTGAAGTTGGTGTTCACATCGCTGACGTGAGTTATTTTGTGGAGCAGGACAGTGCTCTGGATTCTGTCGCCAGCCAACGAGCTACAAGTGTGTACCTAGTTCAAAAGGTGAGTTTTAACACCTAGAGTCAAACCAGCTTTAGGCATAATTTTTCACTGTCTTTATCTGTATCTGACTCTGTAATTAAACCTCTCAGCTATATTAGTTTGCTAATTCATTACTATTCTTAAGGTGGTTCCCATGTTGCCAAGGCTGCTGTGTGAGGAGCTGTGCAGTCTGAATCCTCAGGCTGATAGGCTCACGTTCTCTGTCATTTGGAAAATCACTCCTGAAGGAAAGGTATGTTCATGTAAAACGTGACTACAAGGTGTCCACGGGGTTGTAAAAAGTATTAAAAGGTAGTAAGTCAAATACGCAAAAGTTAACACCATTAAAAAGTAATAAACGTCATAAAGGAGATAAAGGTTGACACAGGATGGGTGATTTTGCAGTTGTGTTAAATTCAAAAGATGATATTTGAAAAATATATCACATCTGCTTAGTATGAAATAACTTTAAAACTGCAATTTTTTTAATGTGCTTGATTGATAATGTGTTTACAGTTGTCCTTTTATAGTAATATTCTGGTATTATCATGTATATGAAGACAAAAAGGTTTTGATTGTGAAGGTAAAGTTAGGATAAGTTTTAATACATCTTTAAAAAACAGATGGACGTCACGATTATTTTTTTTATTATTTTTATTATTTTTTTGTTCCTGGGGTGTGCGAGAGCAGCCTGGAGCATTTCTCCAGGCTGATAGCACTGGAGAAAGGGTGTGTGCTCCTTGTTCACATAATAATGAAATCACTTTTTTGTCATGTTCTAGGGTTAAATAACAAATAATTGTATATAGATCAGTGATTCTATTGAGGCAAAGAAGTAATTCTAACTTTTAACTGTAGGTTCAAGAGGTTGTTGCTACAATTGTAGCTTGGTATTAAAAAGCATCGAGATGGTATAAAAAAGGTATTAAAAAGTTTAATACCGTAACTCAAGAATTTTTGTGTATACCCTGGACTGGTACAGTTCAGCCTGAGTCATACGTTAAGATGAGATTTACTATAGTGATGACATTTAGAGGGAAAACCTGCTGTTTTTCTTGTTTCGCAGTATCTAATTTACAGATGTTTTTGTTAGATCCTGAGCGAATGGTTTGGTCGATCAGTCATTCGCTCTTGTGTGAAGCTGAGCTATGACCACGCTCAGAGCATGATCGAAGCCCCTGAGAAGTTGTTCTCTGCTGATGAGCTCCCACCTATGGACCCTGGGCATCCTATTGATGAAATCCACCAGGCTGTTCTCAACCTGCACTCTATTGCCAAGAACCTTCGAGCTCAACGTTTCTCCGGTGGAGCCCTCAGACTCGACCAGGTTGGTCTGATGGTGTCAAGAAATTTTTGCTTTACCAGGCTTAAAGCTACTTATGAGGCAGTTTGAAATGCTTTACTCCAGTAATTTTCCAAACATTGGTAGTTTTTTTTTTTAAATTCTGAAATGAAGATACACACTCAGATGAATTCACCATAAACCAACTGAAGGCTTGAGTCACCTGAATGCTTTTCATTATGCAGGCTGTAGTCTGTAGGTAAACGAATATGGTGGAATCAAACAGGTGTAGCATTTTAGAGATGATGTTTCAGTGGAAATACAAAAATAAATCTGCTTAACCCGAAACAAAAGGGAACAAATAGGACAACTGTCAAAAATAAATATTGGAAATCAAGCAGGGTGGTGAAGTGCCATAAAGGAAGAGCTCAGCATTCAGACACATTGATTTTTGTTCAACTTCTTCTGGACCAGTAAGTTTAACATTTCAAACAAGGCTTTCTTTTTATCTGCAATCATTACACAACAAATCTGAGCTTGAATTGTTTTTGCCTGTATAATGTGAAAAATGTAACTCCAAAAATCATCTATAAAGTTTTGGGTTGTATTATACACATACACAATTTTGCCTGAAACTATCACACTGAAGAAGTCTCTTGGAGGAGAGACGAAACGTTTCATTAGAGAAGAACCCGTCCAGAAGACCTATACAATTTTTTTCTTTTTGATTTTTTACCTGGTTTACTGAGATACATCAGGACATTTTACACAGGAGTAAATTTTGACTAATTGTTTGCTTCCACACTAAATTTTAATGGGCCCGCCTGCTTGATAATGATAAAGGAAGCACTGCATGTAAAAGAACGAGTATTATCATCTTTACCTTTTAAAATGGTTTATTTTGCTGTGTTGAGTAATTAATTTTTAAATCTAAAATTTATTAAAAATCCATTTTTGTATTACATGAAGTAAAAAATATATCCATATTTATTTTAAATTTTTTATAAACTCAATGGCAAGCTGGACTGAAGTCACCCACAGATCACCAGTGAAATAGCCCTGCTTTACATGCACTGTAGTAGATATTTATTTTGAGTAACTACAAAATTGCAGCATTATAGAAAAGCGTCACAAGTCATATTAAAAAAATTGAAATAAAGGTCTACACTCTGGGCAATTGATAAAATTTGTATGTCTATATTTCAGAATACCAAAATGTGACAATGCTGCTTGTAATGTGATTATTTTGTTTTATATTGAGTTATAAATAGTAGGCAGGCTGTCAACTTCCTTTTGGAAGAGATTTTAAAAGAAAAAACTTCACTTTAATTTAAATTTAACTGATTTCTTGTTTCAATTTGCTTTTGTCTTTTTTAAATCTAATATAATTTGTTTGTTTCAGCTAAAACTCTCTTTCACGTTAGACAAAGAGACAATGATGCCTCAAGGCTGCTATATTTACCAGTACAAAGACAGTAACAAGTGAGTCATTTTTCCCCTGAAACTGACTTTTATGAAAACTTCTTTCTGCATAAAATCTGATGTTAAATTTCACTTCTTAAATCCTGTCCATGATTGTATTGTAAACCTTCTCCTCAGGTTGGTGGAGGAGTTCATGCTGCTGGCTAACATTGCCACTGCGCACCACATTTACAAAAAATTCCCTGAGCTGGCTCTGCTGCGATGCCACCCACCTCCCAAAGTCAAGATGCTGGATGAGCTACAGGAGCTGTGCAACCAGCTGGGAATCAACGTAGACTTTTCCTCTGCAGGAGCGCTACATGTCAGTACCTGTAACGGTTAAATGACTTCATTATCTTAGCTGTTTGTGTCTGAAGTTTCAAGGTTGTTTTTATAGGTTAGTTTTCAACCCTTTGCCTTGTCCTGAAACAGAAGTGAAACATAGTTAGAGATGTTGGTTACATGACCTAGTTGATTTTCTACATTTGTGTTTAGTTTACTGGAAGTGTTAGAGTGTACTTAAGAGTAATTCCATTGGCTCCATTTGGTTTTTTTTTTTTTTTTTTTTTTTTTTTTTTTTTTTTTTTTTTTTGGATTTTATGGGACACTTTTCCAAATGGCTGCCAGAATTCCCATTTTGTCATCTAACTTAGTCTGCACAAAGCCATGATCTTGGTGTCTAAACTCATGTTTTCAAGTATAAAGGATCCAGTTGTGACCACCAAAATTCATCTTAGATGACAACTATCTTGGATTTTCAAAATGGCCACCAAAATACACATTTGGCCATCTAACCTTTTTTCTATGCCACATAGTCATGACCTTGATGTCTAAACTCATGTTTTAAATTACAGAGGATCCAGTGGTGACCATCACAATCTATTTTAAGGGACAACCATTTTAGATTTCCAAAATAGCTGCTGGAAAAAAAATGGAGGCAATGGAATTACTCTAAACTGCACACTAATGACCCCAAGAAAACATGTTTGACATACTTTATCAAAAATTAAAAACACAAATGAAACATTTCTTACATAAACCACCAGACTCGTTGGTCAGATCCAAAGCTCAGTTGTTAATGAACAAATTGTCATTTCTACTTGTCCAACGAGCAGAAGAGTCTCAACACTGTTGTTGGTGATGATGAGTATTCCAGAGCCAGAAAAGAAGTCCTCACCAACATGTGCTCCAGACCCATGCAGGTCAGAAATCTCTTCAGTTTCATGCTTGTCTGTTTGAACATTGCTATAATGTCACCTCTAAATTAATTAATTTTGTTTTCCACCAGGCTCTTATGAAAGTGCTGTATAACTAAAGAACTTTACGTCAGAACCTGAACATCTCCCACTGTTTGAGCATGAAATTTGCCCAGTAATAACTTGAATATTTTATCTGGTTTTGTGTCAGATGGCGATGTACTTCTGCTCAGGTGTAAAAAAGGAGGAAGAGCATTTTAAGCACTACGCCCTTAACGTTCCTCTGTACACACACTTCACATCACCCATCCGACGATATCCTGACATCATTGTGCACCGGCTGCTTGCAGCTTCGCTCAGTATGTATTGTTTCTACACAGGCCTCTCTGTCAGACACACAAAATATGCATTTCAAACAAATGACAGTTTTTTTGTTCCAAAGACTGCTGCTGTATTTTCTATAACTTTGTCCTTGTTTCCTCCTCTGTCATGTTAATAATCATACATGTCTTCTGGATGTTTGCACACAGAGTGCGGGCCTCGTTTAAGCCTTTCAATGGTGGAAGTTCAAAAGGTGGCATCACACTGTAATGACAAGAAGACTAATGCCAAGAGAGTCCATGAGCTCAGCTCGGATCTTTTCTTTGCAGTGTTTGTAAAGGTGAGCAAATATCACAAAACTCATCTCAGCACAAGAAACAAATCAGTCATTGTGACATCTACTCAACAATTTGCGAATGTTGACAGTTTATTTATTTTAGAACCTTGTTGTCAGGTTGTTGATGTTTCATCTTATTTTCTTAATGTTAAATCTATGTTTTTTATGCCTTTTGCTTGTTTGTCTCACAAGGAGTGTGGACCGCTGGATTCTGAGGCCATGGTAATGGGGGTTCTGGATAAATCCTTTGATGTGCTCGTACTCCAATATGGTGTACAGAAACGCATCTACTGCAAGGTCAGCTCCATCAGCTCATCGAAAACATTTTCAGATTTTCCAGCTTCATAGTAAACTGAAAGGTTCAGTTTGAGTTCATGATTGTGTTGTTATCAATAACTTTAAACTCTGCAGTCATCCTACAAAAACATAAGTAGATCAGTCAAGAGCACAAAAAAGTGAAATAAATAAACCAGTGATGCAGTAATATATGTTTCTTTAAGTTTAAAACTTTTTGTTTTCTGTTTGTAGCTCATTGCAGACTTGGTCTCATTCCACCATCGTAAGGTGGGGAAGAAATCTGAGCTCAGGCTGGTGTGGAAATCAGATAACACAGAAAATGCCCCTGTAGAACAGGTGAGACCTGCAAACATTTTATTTATCCTTTAAAAACATCTAACAGTTTGAGACACGGTCTAATTAAACCCAGTACTGCTAACATGTGATTGATCAACTGTTACAGTTTTGTGTAAGATAAAAACCTAACAAATGTACCAGTTTCTTGACCATCAACCAGCTTGCTGTGCACAGCCACACAGGCTGTAAAGCACCAAAAATAATCAGAATCTCTTGTTTCTTTTTTCCCCAGATCATTTCAGTCTTCTCATTGGTGCAGGTGCAGCTCAAAGCAGACAGTTCACCTCTGAAATACAGTGCAGTACTAAAGAAGCCAGAGTGCAGAGGGTACTAGAACAAACACTTTGATGCAAGCTTGGAGTTGTGCATTCTCCTCTGTTTACTGACAGCAATTAAATCTTTACTAAATGTAGGGTAACATTGGTATTAAACTGTTGTATGTATACCTTTTCAACCAACTCCCTGCAAAAGTCCTAATTTATCACAGCACTCTTCTTTTCTTCAGATCATTTTAAAGGGAGTTTTCTTAAGGTGCAAAGCAACATTTGTACCCAAATAGACATTTGTTTTATTCTTATTTTTAGAAAGTTGGAAAGTGTTCAATGAATTGCTTTAGAAACTAAAAGGCTGCAATATAAAGTCTTGTGTAAGCTCTTTAAAAATGTGCAAAGTGTACAAGAATTTTTCTGCAACTTAGTGTAAAATTTGGGTTTTGGCTCAGCTCTGCAAGCAGAGCGGTATGAACTTTTTATTATTTTGCCTTTGATTTATTGACTTAATGAGATCCATTTTGAGGTGCCATAATTTTTTTAATACAGAGTCTAATGTTTGAAAACTAATTCTTAAACTTTGTTTTAGTTTTACATCAACTGACTTCCTGATTTAGCATTGAGGAGAAAACCTATGTTTAGCTGATTGTGTGAAACAGTTTTACCCATTTGTCAGTCTTGTTGTGTCTGCTGTAACATTTCACACCCACAGTGGGTTAGAAAGTAAAAATATAACAGTAAAAGCAATGTTAAAAAGTGTTGCTGTTGTTTTAGTTACACAGGTAACATGAAAAGAGTGAAGATGTGACTGTTTCATTTTTCCTGTCCTGTAAGAGTCCTGGGTATTTTGCTTAATTTGTGAAATCAAAAAATGAAATTTCCAAAGATTTAAAGCTGATTTTTTTGTTCCGTGGAAGTTCAGACAGGTTCATATTCATTGACGAACTCTTGTAATCCTAGTTTTTATTTTGCAATAAAAGATTGTTTACAGTGTTTAAAAAGGATTTCTCTTTAGATTTCCTCTGCAGCCCTGTGAATGAAGGCAGGGCTGGATGTGTGTTGATAGATTTTTAGTGCAGCTCACAGGATTTTTCTTCATTTAAACAGCCTTCACTGGAGGAGCTACTGGTAGTTCATTGAATGTTTTTGCTGTCTAAACAAAGCTGTTTGGTCTGTCTTTTACAATGAATACAAAGTTTATTTACCTGTTGCTTTTAATTTAATATGTGACTGGACTTGAATCTGAACTGCTGCTTCATCTGTTTGGTGGATTTAAAATACAAACAAACCTCATGGTTGAAAATGTGCCTCCAGCTGTTTTGTGTTCTTTGTTTTATTTTTTCACTTTTATGTTAAGATGTCAAGTTTAATGACCACTAATTTTAAATTAGCCTCATTAATATAAAATGTTTTAAGACCAAATTTAATCAAATGAGCTTAACTTCATTAAATCTTGAAGACAGCATTTTATTTTTGACCTAGCTCCACATGAAGTTTTATTTTGTTTTTAGGATTTTGTCACTTTATTAAGACACCTTACGTTTTTTAAAACTTGTTCTATGAAGTGACCTAATTCAGTTCTTCAATCTTAGGTACTAGCTCAAAAAAAGTAGTTTTTATGTCAATTTTTAGTTTAGTTTGAAAGAATAGATTAATGGTTGATTTAAAAGTGGTTTTTTTTTTCAAAGACTATCATTTGTCTCCACCTCTGTATAATCATAGGACTTTATACTCAGATGTTCACACGGGTGTTTTTAGGCTTTATGAAAAATACACTTACTGCAATTTGTTTTCCTGAGAAGACCTCCACACATCCTTTAGGTGGAGTTCTTGTTGAACTGAAGGGGAATTTGAAGCGGAACAAATGACAGATTATTACTCAACAACACAAGTCTTACTCCAAAATGATTATTCTTGTTGGATAAACAGGCTCAGTTGGCAAGGAGTGGCTTTGATTTATTAGAGATAAAGGCTGTGGAACAGTATCGTCACTGCCACAGTGGATTATAGCAAGGATTTTATTACATGTTTAAAATATTGATGATGTTTCCAGAAAGAAAAATACTGAACGACGATCCTTTACTTTCTTTAAAAAAATAATTAAATTGTAAATGCTTTTGTCTCTGTTACTAAAACAACAGTCAATATGACTACAACAAATATGTCAGAATTTAGCTAAACAGTGTATATTTTTTATTGTAGCAAGCAGTTAAACTTAAAGGAGTAGTAGTCCTTTTGGTGCAACCTTGTAAATGAGGTCATGCGTGAGAAGTGTTCTCTGAGACCACACCAGATTTTAGATCAATGTGTAAAACTGGCACAGTAGTGTGTTTGCACATTAGTTCTGGCAGCCATCTTGGATTACTGCTGATATTTTTCCAAACGTTTCTTAAAAATTCACTCAGTGGTTTATTAGATAACTACTTAACGGACAGCATTGAGTCCAATAGTTAGTGGCAAAGTCTTACAAACAAACATTTTATTAGCTCTTGGAGTAAAGTTGGAGATGACTCTCAGCTACTACTGCACCAGATTTTAGCTCAGTACCTGTAAAAACTGACAGTCATTTGGGGTTTTCTAGGGTCGCTTAGCTGTGGCAGCCGTCTTCAGTGAGGTTAAAACCAGAAGTTAATCAGTTATAGATGTACATATAATCATTACGTTTGTGAGAGTTTCATTTAAATCCATCTACTGGTTCATCAAATGTTTTGCAACAGACACGGATATAGACATTACCCTTTCACCTGCAACGGGCAATAAAGCCACTTCCTTTTGGAACATTACCAAGTGAGCAGTTACATTGATTACGAGTGGTTTTTATTTTCTGACTTGGACTACCTCTGAGGGAGTACCTTATCAGGGCTGAACACACTGACGCCAGAGGGTAATCAGCAGGTACTGTCCACCCATCCTGCTCTGTTGTAAAGACTAAACTCACTCAGGAACCATAAATACCACTGTACAGGACGTTTCCTTCTGAGGTTTGAAGCACAGCATCCAGCCTGACAGCTCCAGGTAAACTCAACATAGTTTATCCCTGACAGGTGAGTGAGTGAAGCACGGCTACAGTACTGACGCCTTCTGAGAGTGAAACTCCTCTTCCTTCACTTCTGTGCTTTATCTTTATTACAGTGAGATGCTGAGCTGCGTCTCCGCTGATTTACACAAGCAGGGTCCAAAGGCTGCACATAAATTCATTACAACACCCAGTGAACTCTGGGAAATATTCACTCTTTATGTAAACTATTAAATAACATAAATATATAAACTAATCTGTGGTAGTTTACTGAACCAGTATTAGACGTTTATCTTACAACATTGTTCTTGTGGATTGTGTTGCTCATTCCCCCCATCAGTCCAGGGCAGCTGTATGTCTTATAGGGGGATCAACTATAGGTGTCACTCATTTCAAGTTGAGAAAACTGAAGAATGACAGTGGGATGAGCTTACACTCACAGGCTGTGTCCACAAAGGCAAGCCAGCTGTTCACCTCTGTACATTTCACTTCTTTTTCGTCACAGTCAGTCCAAAGTCAAAGCATCATAAAAATCTCCATCAGTCATAGGAGAGACGTGTTTCCTTCTTCCTTATACTGAGTTGGATTCTAAACTAGATCGAGTCAGGAGGCTTCATGAAGATCACAAACTAAAGGATTGGTAAGTAGTCATTGTTATTCTTTAGATCTTCTATTATTATTATTTTATTCATGTCACTCAGAACACAATAGCCTACTGGACTTTGATAATTATGTAAATTGTACCAACTTGGCTAAAAGTAAAATTCAGATAAATCATTCATTCCTTTTTATCAATTATGACTCATTTGGATTTTTTTAGGGCAGCAGCAAATATATTGACTGTCTCATAATGCTGAGAAAGGTAAGATGAAAAAAATCTGAAAGTTGAACAGAGTTCTGTGGATTTATTGATAAGAACATTGCTTGTCACACTTCCTGCTTAATGCTTCATTCCTTGAAGCTAGTGCTACTGAATAAAACCTGCTCTCAGATGTTTAATTTTGAACTCCCCTTGTCTTTAGGGGGAGTGGGTCTGGGTGGACTCGGACATTGGGGTGCCCATCGGAGCCAGGGTCAAAGAAACTCCAGCGGGTCAGAGGTTACTGTTGGACGACGAGGGAAATGTAAACACGCTGTCGCTTATTGAGCAAAATGGCAATATGTAGTGGTTGTGTCAAACAAATGAGTGCATTTTTGTTTTTCACCTTTTAACCAGGAGCGACGTCTGTCCATAGAGGAGGAGCAGGAGGCCGCTCTTAGGATCATGCACCCGACATCTGTGGAGGGGGTGGATGACATGATCAAGCTCGGTGACATGACGGAGGCTGGCCTCCTGAGGAACCTGTTGATCAGACACAGACAAGGCATCATATATGTAAGACTCTACACACGTAAGCTTTATTTAGAAACAATGGCATTTGAATCTGTTCCCGTACTGCTCCTATCTCATTTTAAAATTAAAACAAACTTTATTTTACATTTGCAACCATAAGTATCAAGTGATACCAGCATCTTTACAATAAGTTGTTTTTTCCACATTCATTCATAAATTCAGGGATTAGATTAATTTTGTTTACAAAACACATTTATCAAACTAAAGTTGTGCTGTAGAATAAAACCCAAAATAACAGCTGTAAATCTATTTAAAAGCATTTAAAAAATAATGAACATCCAAAATGATCAGTTTCAATGATGTAAAAAAATGGTTCCCAAAGCTTAGGCTGGAACCCCTTTTTTTTTAAATTAAAGCAAACACATTAGGAAATCACTGACCTAAAAAGCTTCAGTTAGAATAAGATTAGAGAAGTTCATCTATAAATATTCATGGGTTGAACTGTGCACAACTTCAAAAGTTTTCAAATAAATTTTATATTTAAAGGGAAGCCAATAAAGCCACAATAACAAAGTGATACTGTCTCTTTTCCTGGAACCAGTAAGGAGTGTGGCTGCATGATTCAGAACCAGCAGCAGACGGTACAACAGATACTGGCTAAGGCAGAGCCGTGGGCTCATTTTGTTTGTGTTGGGATGCTGGGAGCATGTGGGAATCAGGATGACCCTGAAAACCCAAATGAAGAAAGCTGTAAAACCAGATTTACGCAGTTAAATCAGTGTATGTTGTTTTATCTGAATATGGACATTAAAATATAATGTGTATTTTGAACAAATGTTATCTACAATAATGCTAATTTGCTCATTGTTTTGTGGGTTTTAAACAGTTGTAAAATTTTACACACAAATTTGCAATAACAGTAGTGCTGCTTTAAATAACAGAATTACTAACTAAAACCCATTAATTTGTTTTTAAAGTACATGTCCCCAGACATCTATCAAGGAGTGGTGCATTTCACCTCTTAAATACAGGCAAAACTAGTTTAAATGGTTTTCAGGACTTCCATATAAATCTACGTATCATCTGCATAATAACGAACTGCAAAGTTTTACAGAAGATATTACACAAGAAAAACATGCTTTGTAAATAAGTGAAAAAAATGATTTAGACTTTTGATTTATTT